CATAAAACACGATTTATACACAATGATAAAAATGTAGCCAAACGGATGATTAACCCATAACATTCATCCGATTAGCCATATTTTTGCGCTGTGTAAAAATGAAGTGTTTTATGCTGCCTTTCAACATAACAGTGATTATGGCTATGATCGCTGGAGTGATGAAAGTCATTATGATTAATTTCTTGCGCTGGCGGAAGCATTTTCATCAATCACTGTTTCATATAGCACATTCACGACTACTGCAGTGATGATCGAGCATGTGCTATGCCTTGTCATGGCGTGAGCCGTTATACTCTAGTTCTTGAGCCTTCCTTACGATCTACGCTGACAAGATTGATAGTAATGAATATGGTGATGGAATTGGCGACAATAACGACAAGAATGTGATTACCGTGATGGTGTTTACGGTTAGCTTCGGATTGTCACTGCCTTTTGGCCAGGCCACTTTCATGTGTAATAACGGTCTTTGATGACGAAGGAGTATATTCTATTGAGTTTATTTTCTTTGGAAAATTTTACGTTTTGTTTAGGTTATTTACGCCTCTTCCTAATTTGAGTAGAAGTTTAAATTTATGATATTCCCTGATTGTAAGAATTACCATAGGCATAAATTCAGTTTCTGGTTATTATTTCGCCCAAGTGTTCCTTTTCTACTTCGTCATGTATGTAATAGTAGTCCGTTGTTGAACTTAGTCTTTTCTGGCTTAACACGTTGTCACTTACAGATTGATTTACAATTCGACGACGACGCGTTGCTGGCGATCGCCAAAATGGCAATGCGAAAGAAGATTGGCGCCCGGGGTCTCCGTGCAATAATGGTTGGTTTCATTTGACGCCATCATCGTTGATGTCGTTCCATCGTCCTCACTCGATATAGTCTGTGTTGTAAATTTAATCGCAAAATCGTTCTAGGAGAACCTTCTGTTGGAGCCGATGTTCGAATCGCCGGGAACCGATGTGACGTCGATCCGAGTGACCGCCGATGCGGTGAACAAAGTATAAAATAATTTGGCACGCTACGTTGTGGAGAAACAGTG